ACTCTTTCCTGCCTATGCAGGGGGTCGGACTCGATGATCTATTGAGGTCCCTTCCGACCCTAACATCTATGAATTATATGCATTAAGGTTGCAAACAAGGATGCACTTTTTGTAGAAAACAATGATTAAATCGAGGCTTCCTGACCAGTGATTTAAATTGTGATTTAAATGACACTTTAAAATCGATTTGAGTTAAATCAAATCTACCTTATTAACTTGTCAGCAATATTATTTAGCATCATAAAAGATGTTACCAGAACAAACTGGCATCACAGGCTGGCATTAAGGTTGCAAACAAGGATGCACTTTTTGTAGAAAACAATGATTAAATCGAGGCTTCCTGACCAGTGATTTAAATTGTGATTTAAATGACACTTTAAAATCGATTTGAGTTAAATCAAATCTACCTTATTAACTTGTCAGCAATATTATTTAGCATCATAAAAGATGTTACCAGAACAAACTGGCATCACAGGCTGTGGTGCAGATAAACACTGGACAAAGTTATCCTTGTTTCTAAAGAGGAGAAAAGAAATCCTAACTCTGAATCATCCTTTCACACCTCTTGACAAACAGCTTATTACAGGGGATGGGCAGGCAAACACAAAAACAATCCCTGGTAGAATAGGTGTTGGTTTTATACATTTCTGTAAATTACACTAGGTGCAAGATGACCAGATCTGCAGCTCTCTCTTGGTAATGCATACAGCACAGAGCTATTACCACACCTTGCCACTAAGCAGAGGGGAAACAGTTAACAGTCTATTTTCTTTTAGCAAACAGCTACTACCCTGAGACAGATGTAGACAGATGATACCCTCAACTTCCACTGGTAGACTATGAACCTGAATGTGGGTCTGGATGGCCCCCCAATGCTTCTGCAAATCCCAGAGAAAAAAAAAATTCTTCCCTTACATGCAGGGATGCACTGACCTCCCAGTAATTCACTGCTGCAAAGGAATGCAATTTCCCCCCATACACATGTGTAATGAATTTTTAGAAGCGTACATTAACCATTTAACTGCACCACTGCTGAGTTAGATCAATTAAAATTAGCTACATAATTTTCATACCACTTTCAGCTCCAGTAGACATTTTTCCAAGAGAGGATGTTTCAACTGGATTTAGGTTACTGGAATCAGAACTCTGGGTAGAGGTGATACCTTATTAGACCAACAAGATATTTGCAAACAAAATTCTTTATTCACAAGCTTTTGGGCACACTCTCACTTCTTCAGGCATAGGAAAATGCAAAGATGGTAAAATTTCTCCTAGGCGGAAATGCAAATTCATATTTCACAGGACAGTTGAAGCTTTAAGTCACAGGGGCGGGCAAAATATGGCCTGTGGGCCAGCCCACCAGGCCATTCTATCCTGCCCATCGGGCCCCTAAAAAATTTAGAAAATTAATATTTATCTGCCCCTGGCTCCCTGTCATGCAGCCTTTGATGGCTTGCCATAACTCAGTAAGCAGCCCTCCACCTGAAATAATTGCCCACCCCTGGTATAAGATCTCCTGGTTGGCAAAGTTCATTTTGTGCAAATTTAGCTCAGATAAAAAGTTTGAGCAGTCTATTTACCTTGAAGTTGTCTGATAGTAAGTGGTATGTTAAAGAGGTGCATCCAAGAGAGATTTTTGGGGGCTGATACCAACAAATGATGCTTAAAGATGCATATCATCCGATACGATCTGATTTCTGATATGCAGCCCAGCAGCAAAGAGCAGTGTCTGGCTGGTAAGTCTGTTGTGATGGAAGGGGAGGTGGAAGGGAAGGGGCATGGCAGGGGCAGATCGAGGCCCCTGTAGTGAGGGAGGGAGGGAGTGGGGCTGGGGCAGATGCTGCCCAGCCAGGGCAAGGTGGGACACAAGATGGAACCATGGCTTGTCTGGGGGGTGCAGGGAGGGGAGGCTCCCGCTGCTGACAGCACCCCAGGAGGACTCAGGGGGGCATGTCGCCCCACATCTGCGTGGGAAGGAGGGGGCTGCCACTGACAGCTGGAGCAGGGGCTGCGCCAGGCTCTTCCCAGCAGGGGCTGAGCTGTGCTGTGCTTGGGGTGGGCGGCAGCAGCACTGGGAGGGGGGTTATGGGGTGGGGGCTGCAGTCACCCCAAAATTCACCATAGCCCAAACTCAGCACCACTGCCCACCCTGTGCGGCTCGCAGTCTGACCCAGCCCCTGCCGGGAAAAGCCCAAGGCAGCCCTGATCCCATGCTGCAGTGACAGCCCACCCCTCCCATGCAGATCTGGGGGGCACACATCCCACCTGTGCCCTCCTGGGATGTGCATAGGGATGGGAGCCTCTGCCCCACCTCAGACAAGCCATAGCTACACTTACCAGCTGGATGCAGCTCTGCAAGCTGCCAGGCTGTGCTCCTCACCGCCCACCTGCTGCGCTGCCACATCAGGCAAAAAAGCCGATTTCCGATAGTCAATTTTTTTAATCTCAGTACAGATCCGATATTGGACCAATGTATCAATGCACCTCTATGAATTATTTCCTTCTGGTTATGATGTTTCATATTTTGCAAGAGGATGGGTAAACAATCAAGTACTAAATAAATGCGCAGTAACAGTAGCTCCAGCGAACACCTTTTTAGTGACATTACTGTGCAGTAGCCTAATAATACTGGGCAGTAGTGTACTGGCACTGTTTGTGCTGCGATGGGCTACCGCACAGTATTATTAGGCTGTTGGGCTGTTAGCGTCTCATGTAGATGCACCGTCTCCAAAATGACAACAGGCGAGAGATTAGGAGCAGATGTGCAACTCCCGTGCGGCTCTATAGCTAGTCTCTGCCCCTCCGCCCTCTTGCTCACTCCAGTTCCAAAGCACAGGTTAGATTGAGGGCTAGATTTTCCACACCTTAATTAGCAATGTTGGGAATGCTTAACTTGCATTAAAAAGATCCCCTTATTCATAAAAAACGTCATGGAGATGACAGATACTATAAGAACAGTAAATCATCTCATAGTTGCAAAAAGACTTTATGAGCCTCAAACCTGCTGCAACTGTGCTCAGACCCTTTAGGAAAATTAACCCAGCCCGGCTCCTCCCTGGGCCACGCCGCTTGCTGGCTACAGCTGCAGATGCAAACAGGCGCGCAGCGCTGTCGGGGGCGCGCGTTTCCAATTCCCCCTGTTGCTTGTCTAGCTCCAGCTCCTGGTCCCGGCCCCCTCTCATTCAAAGAGAGAACCCGAACCAGCGCGAAACCGACCCCTTGGAGATGCGACAAAACACCGCCCCCCCGCGCCGCGGTGGTTACAACCCCGGGGGAGGCGAGCACGTGGCGCGGCGGCGGCGGCTGCGCGCAGACACCCGCGCTCGGGTCCCGGCCCCGGAGCAGAGCGGGTCCCGCTCCGCTCCGCCTCGCGCCGGGGGCAGCGGCTGGCCCCCCCCACCGGCTCCAACACCGGCGTTCTGT